AAGCCCTAACCCCTAAGCCCTAAACCCTAAACCCCTAAAGCCTTAGACCCTAAGCCCTCGACCCTAAATCCTAAGCCCTAAACCCCTAAACCCTGAACCCTAAGCCCTAAACCCTAAACCCCTAAAGCCTTAGACCCTAAGCCCTCGACCCTAAATCCTAAACCCTAAACCCCTAAACCCCAAACCCCTAAACCCCTAAACCCTAAACCCTAAACCCCAAACCCCAAAGCGAATGTCTCTCCTACAAGCCCCCCGGCCACGAGGACAAGTCTCTTAAGTCCATCCTAAGGCCCCTGGACCCCCATAGGGAAAGCCCAAACCTTAGCGGTTTAGGGTTTAGGGTTTAGGGTTTAGGGTTTAGGGTTGGCCACCTAAAGCCCAAACCTTCCCCTAGAAAGCCCATCACGGCAATAAGAGCCTTAGGGTAGATCCTAGACCGTACATCCTAAATCCTAACTAGGTCCTAACTGCTACATCCTACTCCCTAAACCCGAAAACCAGAAAGTCCTAAACCCTAAAACCGTAAACCTAAAACCCTAAACTCTAAAACTCTGAAACCCTAAACCCTGAACCCTGAAACCCTAAAACCCTAAACCCTAAAACCCTAAAACTCTAAAACCATCATGCACAGGCAAAAACAGCCAAGTCCTGGGCACCAACTGACTTGGTCTTGACCTCACAGGGGTTCGGATTGCAATAAGCCCCAAAGGGTCCATATACCCCGAAAGGGCTCCTTCAGGGGTTCTTCTACAGGTTCTTGGGTTCTTGTAAGGGTTCCTTTAAGGGTTCCTCTGCGGGTTCTTGGGTTCTTGTAAGGGTTCCTTTAAGGGTTCCTTTGAGGGTTCCTCTCAGGGATCCTTTAAGGGTGCCATATGGGTTCTAGTAGGGTACCACAAGGGTTTAGGCTTTAGCCTCAAGGGTCCATGTACCCAAACAGTGCATACTTTGAGCCCTTAAGTACCTCAGGGACCACTGTAAGACCAAAGTGTACTGTTTGGGCACATGGACTCTAAGGAAAAGGCTTAATGGTCTTTAACGGGCTGTGGGGTTGAGGGTCTGGAGGTTTTGGGGGTCAGGGTCTAGGCATGGTTTCGGGTTTAGGCTTTAGGGCTTATAGGGGCTTTCAGGTTTAGCTAAGGCTTGATTTGATGGGTTAGGCTTTAGGTTTGAGGCTTTGTTTACTGCTTGAGGACTTTAGGGTTTAGTATGAATCCCCTGCCCAGCTCAGAACCCTAATCCCTAATCCCTAAACCCTAGAAGGAACCCCAAGGGTCCAAGTACCTAATAATCATACACCCTCCAAAATCCTAACCTACATTAACTACTATCCTAAAACCGAGTACCTAATTACTGGGTCCTTTGGACCCTTATGGGAAACGCTAGTAGGGCTGGGGGCAGGGCGGCTCCCCTTTAATGGGAATTTCTAGGCAGGGTTTAGGGTTTAGGGTTTAGGAAATTTAGTGAGTTAGGAAATTTAGTGATTTAGGGGTTTAGGGTTTAGGGGGTTCAGGGTTCAGGGTTTAGGGTTTAGGGGTTTAGGGGTTTAGGGGTTTAGGGCCCTACTTCCTCTGCTACTTAGAACCTGGCTTCTTTGGAGAAGAACAGCATGAACCCCTGCGGGAACCAACAAAACAACCCTGAACCCAAAACTGCCCTAAACACTGCCTGTGGCCAAAAACCGTTGGTTGTAGAGTTCCTTATACTGGTTTCTATATATATATATATATATACATATGTATATATAGATATAGATCTGTGTAACACCTTAGAAAATAGAAGTGGCACCTCCCAGGTTCTTTCCTGCAGAAAGCGCTTCAGGAAGCCCGCGATGAGACGCGGCTCCCTCAGCGCCGCAGTCATTGGAAACCTGATTCGGGGCTGTGTACCCAGAGACTCCAAAACCCCTTAATTAAGGAATATACCTTAAATTATAATAGGCTCCCTAATATTATTTAAGGTATATTCCTTAATTAAGGGGTTTTGGAGTCTCTGGGTAGGGCTCTTTCGGGTTGGATCGGCGCTCAGTGGGTGAATGCACAGTTCGATCAGGAGTTATAAGGTTTGACAATGTTTCTTGGGTTCCACACGCACACATATCTATATATGTATGTATAGTTATATATATATATATATATATATATACATGCACACATGTACATAAATACATGCATATGTATATCTGTGTGTTCGTGTGTATGTATGCTCACAGGTACGCATGTACCTAAGCATATTATGTATGGGTGTACGTACGTATGTACGTATGTATGCATGCAAGCCCGAGTCCATAAGTAGGTAGGTGGGCAAGTAAGCAGGTAAGTAAGTGAACACACAAACAACCATAAAGAAAGCATGGATGTTGAACGAATGTAAAAAATGCTAACATACATGTAAATTCGAATACATATACAGACAGAGAGAGAGAGAGAGAGAGCGACACAGACAGACAGACAGACAGACAGACAGACAGACAGACAGACAGACAGACAGACAGACAGACAGACAGACAGACAAACAAAAGACAAACAGACAAACAGGTAGATAGATAGATAATTAGATGGATAGAAAGATAGAGTAGACAGATAGATGGATGGATGGATAGATAGTTAGATAGATAGAAAGATAGAGATAGAGGTAGAGATAGAGATAGAGATAGAGATGGAGACAGAGATAGACGTAGAGGCAGAGACAGATATAGAATACAAACATACATTTGAACATATAACTACCAATACAAGTGCGTGTATTTACTTACATATGTCTATGCATATATGTGCAAATGTAACTTTATGCACTGTCCCATTTACATCTTCGTTTCTTCTTAGTATAACTTGCTTTGCTGTGAAGATGCCTACGGCCTACGCAGTTCGATTTCGGACGGGGAGCCTAGACTGACTAGAAATGTGTTCGGAATGTGTCAGGGAACCCTAAGGCTCTAAGGGTTGAGGGTTTAGGGGGTTTAGGGGGTTTAGGGGGTAGGGGGTTTAGGGTTTAGGGGTTTAGGGTTTAGGGTTTATTTAGGGTAACCCTTGCTATGATTTCTCCAGGAAGCTGCCGCGGTTGGAGTGCCAATGTCGCAGCGCAGCCGTTCCTTACGGCAAAAGAAAGGAACCTCCAAACTCAAACCCGAACCCCGAATGCTGCACCCTGAAGGTCTGTAATGAAATAGTCATGTGCTTCACGAAATACTACAGTCTAGCTGCGAAAGGCTATTCAAGTTCTGGATCTACTCGGGTATTGGATCGTTAGAGTGAGTCCGGAAGTGTCGCCGTTGAACTTGTACAGCATCGTGGGCAGAAAACGAGCTGGACCCAAAGGGTGTAAGTACCAGAACAGTTCAGTACTTAAGCTGCGGGGACTACATGTGCACTGACACCTTTTTGGCTATCGAACCAGAGTTGCATCACAAATCTTGCATAGCCTAGGCCCTAAACTCGACATCGTCTAGACCTGAACCCTAAACCCTAAGTCCCACCCCGGCCCCGAGGCCGAACAACCGTGCTATGTGTCATTTGTGCTCCATGTCCGTCTTGGACTTTAGGGTTTAGGGTTTAGGGTTTAGGGATCACTGTGCATCTGCTGAATCTACTGTGTCTGAAGACTGAAGAGCTAAGATACATACAGCCATATATACATATACACACATACATACACACATACCTACATACATGTATGGTCTTATTTTGTTTCTATCAATATATATATATATATATAGAGAGATAGACTCTCTTCTTCAACAACCAGGCCCCAACAAGTTCAAACTTTTTAGGATGGACCTAATAGATAAGGCCAAAAAGTTTAAAGTTCTCCTATTGGCTATCTAAGTAGATAGACAGATAGATAGATAGATAGATAGATAGATGGCTAGATAGATAGATAGATAGATAGATAGATAGACAGACAGACAGATAGATAGATAGATAGATAGATAGATAGACACACATATGTATGCATCCATGCATACATGCATGTATGCATGCATGCATGTACATGAGAGTGTCTATAGAAAGATCGAGAGACGCAGAGACCATAAACACATGTATTCATTATCTATTTGTATCAAGATGGATGGATGGATGGCTGGATGGAGGGATCGATGGATGGATGGATTGATGGATAGACGGATTGATGGATGGACGGATGGATGCGTGGACGGATGGACGGATGCGTGGACGGACGGACGAACGGATGAAATAGACAGATAGGTAGGGAGAGAGAGAGAGAGAGAGAGAGAGCGGCAAGGAGCGCGAGAGAGAGTGAAAGGCCCTGGGGCCTGGGGTTGTCAGGTGTTTTGGTTCTTACTGTGCGACAGATACTATTGCCGATCAGATTCTGCTCCAAGAGATCGGAGAGGCTCTCGTAGAGCGCATCAACTGGAAAGCCTTTGCGCGCCGGGGTTAAGGCTTCTAGGACCTTTATTACGGGGTTTTAGGGTATCTGAGATTAAGAGTTTAAGGTTTAAGCATAAACCTTGAACCCTAAACCCTAAACCCTAAACCCTAAACCCTAACCCCTAACCCCTAACCCCTAAGCCCTAAACCCTAACCCCAAACCCCAAATCCTAAACCCTGAGGTACTATACCGCTGCTGCTTGTTTTCAAGTTATGATGTTCATCGCCATCCTCATAGCTGGTGTCAGAGCTTGATGTGAACAGGGTTGCCAGGAAAAGGAACATATTTGAGGGTGTCGGTGCAGCCTTCGATGTCATTGTTCGGGTTTCGACTTCCTCTCCCAGACTATTCCGCCATCCAACCCCTAAGCCCTAAACCCCTAAACCCTGAGCCCTGAACTCCGACATCTTCATACCCGACATGGAGAACACGCTTCGATCCCGTATCCCCAGAGTTCAACGTCAAAGCATTACTAATCATTATAAACCCTAAACCCTGAACCCTCCTGGCATTTCCACAAACACCGCGTCTGGGATGAATAGCTTACCTGTCCAGTACTTAAAGGGAACTAAAAGGTTGAGATCTGGGATTATATAGGAGATATAGTCAACCCTAAACCCTAAACCCTAATATAGTACCCCAAAAAGGTTAAAGGTTACCTACTCGACTCTACTACTAAGATACGCTCGCAATCGACTCTTGCCTTTAGTTCTCCGGCTGTCCGGGGCTCTTGGAGGCCTACGACTGTATACACAAAGGGACATATGGGAATAGTGCAGGACCCAAGACAGCAAGCATGTCTTGTGACAAGGCAGAAAAATCAGGATCATTTGAAATCAGTATTTAAACAGAATCCCGGGTGAAGTTGGGACCCGTGGACAACATGTCGTAGCTTCGGGGCCCCACCAGATGGACCCCCACACGTAAGCACACATACTAAGAACTTGAAAGAGACGAACTTTCCCAAACACACTCCAACCCCTACACAAGCCGGAACCTTGAACCACAAACGGCCAAAATCCCAATATGTCAGCCTGAGCCAAGCTGAGCCGACTCGCAACACACCGATCCAGCATTTACCAATTGCTACAGGCACACCATCATAGACCAGGTCGGCACCGACAACCAGGTCGATCGGGCCAGAGAAATTACATCGGTTCGGAAGAAGATGTGAAAATGCCCCGCCCCAAGCGTAGCCTCAGGCAGAAGACTACTTGGAGGGTCATGTGCTAGAAAGTGCACACGACTGAAACATGATTTATGGCACTTCCCTCGGATAAGCCATGCAACTGCTTTGGACTTTGCACCTGTAGCGTGTACTCCACAACAAACATTTTTGAACCAGACAGCCAAAGCAGCTACAATGCAGGATGTGGATTATTGCAAGGCAACGTACGGCATATTCATAGACCACTCGAGAATCGGATGGCTCCATAAAAAAGCTCATGCGTAAGGGCGTAACTCTGTAGGTGTAGCGGGCAGGGCGAACACAACCGCTTAAGCTTTCTGATGGATGCTGCGTGGGACTTGGGATGAATTAAAGTTTCAAATTTCGGGGGCCTTGCGAGATCTGGCTTATGCTTATGCTTAATTAAGCGGCTTTGTCGATCGCCGACAAGTCCTCGATGGACAGATTGAGGCACACGGATGACTACTGTCCACAGAACTCGTTCGCATTGTAGTGACACAGTAATGAACACAGCTGCACAAATTCCGTCCGCACAGCTTCCTCACGAAAACAAGCCGAGACACCCGCAAACTGGAGGCGAGCTTTGGCCAAAGACGTCAGGCCTTCAATCAGTCCGTCTGCGGCTGCCTGCACCTGCAAGACAACGTAGTCAAAATATGTGTGCATGTGTGTGTGTGTGTGTGCCAAGCCCTTTTGAAATCGGGCTGTATGGCTTCGTCACAAACAGGACTCAGCCGGCAGCCGGCTGGAAATCATCCAAAAGATGCCTGAACAACAACTTGGAAACACCAATGCCTACTTCGGAATCCGAATTTGAAGCTCCGTACTGTTTCCTAATTGGTCGCCTTGGAAGCGAGGCCGATTTTACCTACTCACGTTGAACTGGATTGAACCGGACGCATGGCAAAAACTTAATTCCTGATTAGGCTGTGGCAGAATTGCCTGGTCGATGACGTCTGGGTGGTCTGTTGCACACACCTGGACACTCGAAAATCGGGGTCTACATGGATCCTTGGTGCTGCTGAAAAGTGTTGAAGCTAGCATCACGATTCTGGATGGAGCCCACGGATTTCATGATCCCTGCTTAATCGGTCCAGACTCAAAAACCTCACACCAACTGACATTTCTCGCCCTTAAAGCTTGAAAGCACGTGGTTGCCCCACTGTTTCGACTTGGCGGTTTTCTGGATGAGACCTCTCGACGACCGAGCTATGTGTCGGCTTGAAGTTGTTTAATGCGTATGCAACTCAACGCAATCCAAGCTAGGAGCGAGCCAATGGACAAGTATGTTAGCATAAACAACATAGCAGCGGAGCAGATGTCGGCTAAAGTTTTCTCAGGTTTCAGTGCTGTGGTACGGCTACAGCATCACAGGTTGGCGGCATGCATCCGATACTGATAGGATGGTGCGAAAGGGCTTCCAAGCCATCCACCGGTTCGCTGAGAACGTATGACGGCTGTGAGAATCTTAAGCCGCCTGCAGCACAGGCAGTACATGTGAATATATCTCAGGGAAGCGGTAACAGCGCTGCGCACGAGCACTTTTGCGGCATTGCCGTTGCCTGGTGGAAACAGGCACATGCTGGACACCTGAATCCGAAAACCAAAGTCAGGGTTCCTTACGAAACCTAACAGCCGCAAAGAAGACTGAAACTCTGAGCAAAGAACAGCTCTTGCCTAGTCCCGATCTTATCGTCTCAAAATCTATGAGCAATCCCTTAATTTTGGCAACTCAAGACCCTGCCAAACCTTGAGTATACTGTATATAACATTCTGTTCGTATTGTCTCCCTATACTTAGAATAGAATGATGCTAAACCCTATAGTAAGAAAATCTTACCAACACTCACCACTTTAGAAGTTCAAAAACCTTGACAACGAAACAAGGGGCCAGGAATCTTAAACGACTCACGCGGGCTTACACAGTTAGTTCATCATTATGAGCTTGTCGCCAAACCTCAAAACGTAAAGCCGAATTCCAAAACCCTGCATCTCAACACCGAAAACCTGAAGCGAACCCCAAACCCTAAAAAATTTGGAACCTAATTCCGCTTAACTAATTTAACCCTAAAGCCTAGACCCTAAACCCTAAACCCTAAACCCTAAACCCTAAACCCTAAACCCTATAGACCCTAAACCAAAAATCCGCCTAAACCCGAAAGCCTAAACGGCAAGCCCTACACCCGACCCCGGAAACCTCAACACCAAACCCCGAACCTTACTTGGAGGTTCATGGGTAGTTATACATACTGTTGATGATATAAATCCTGCATTACCTTAAGGTCCTTAAGCTATGGGAACTATGGTATATTCCTTGTTATGGGTAATGCAGGATTTATATCACCAACCGTAGGTTTATAAGTATGGTAATTATACTTATAACCCATATTAGGGGTCTTATAACCCCATTTATAACTACCCATGAACCTCCAAGTATAGACCCCAGAGACCCGAGATCCGACCCTCGAAGTCAAAAACACTTACCCGAAGGGTCCAAAGGACCCAATAATAAGGTTAGGGTTTAGGGTTAGGGTTTAGGGTTTAGGGTTTAGGGTTTCCCAATAATAAGGTAGTTTGGTTGCGGATAGTGGTTACATAGGGTAAAGTTTGGGAGAGGATATGATTATTAAGTACTTGGACCCTTCGGGTTAGGGTTTAGGGTGAAGGGTCTAACCTGTACATCGAAGCCCAAAACCTCATGTAGGGTTTATATAGGGCTTAGGGTTTTTAAGACCCAACAAAGACCCCTGCAGATCCCTTTTAAAGGAACCCTACTTGGAGGATCATGGGACTTAGAAAGTAAGGTTATAAGTACCTTAGTTGAAGTTGCAAGCAATGATAGGTATATTTACATTACTTATCATCCTAATTCACTTTGTCCCGTGATCTTCCAACTCCAAACCATGCACCCTACACCCTAAACCCTGAAAGCCCTAATTAAACCTCAAGCCCTAAACCCCAAAACCCTAAACCCTTCAAGCCCCAAACCCCAGGCCCTGAACCCTTAAAGCCCTAAACCCTAAACCCTAAACCCTAAACCCTAAACCCTAAACCCTAAACCCTGGGCCCTAAACCCTGAACCCTGAACCCTGAACCCTGAACCCTGAACCCTGAACCCTAAACCCTAAACCCTAAACCCTGGGCCCTAGAACTCCGCGCCTCGGCGCCCAAGGCTGCCAGGGATGCGCTCAGCAGCGGGAGCCCGGACCCCAACTCAAGGATTCGGAAGCCCACCCTTGACGGGGTTTAGGGTTTTTTTTGTTAGGGTTTAGGGTTTTTTTTGTTGGGGTTTAGGGTTTTTTTTGTTGGGGTTTAGGGTTTAGGGTTTAGGGTCTGGCGTTTAGGTTTTTTGTTAGGGTTTAGGGTTTCGGGTTTAGGTTTTTTGTAAGGGTTTAGGATTTAGGGTTTAGGGCTTAATATAGGGGCCTTACTAATTACAACAGGGCGTTTTGGGGTATATTATACTATGATTATAATAAGGACCCCGCCCAAAACAAATCTTTATTTAAGCCCCTACATTCGGATTCCTTTGTGGGTTTAGGGTTTAAGGGTTTACGGTTCCTTTGCAGGGTTTTGATTTAGGGTTTATGGTGAAAGGTTTATTGTCTAAGGTTTAAGGGTTTAGGGTTTGGGGTTTGCGGTTTAAAGGTGTAGGCAAGGTTCGGGACTCGGTAGCTAGACTTGCCAATATCCCATAATCAAGGAATACCTGAACACTAAATAAGCCCTACGTTTTTAGGGTTCTTCATCATGATTTAAACTTTACGAATATAAGTCCTGAAAATCAGTTATTAGGGTGTAAGGTGTACCTTAAAAATAGAAGGATCCCTAATATGATTTGGGGTTTTTCCTAAATTGAAGGATATTGGAAAGTCTCGACGGGTGGAGGGCTCCTTTATACATTGCGGGCTTTGCTATAGGGCGTAAGCCTCCTGTATACCTGTCTTTTTCAACAACCAGGCCCCAAAAAGTTCATTCTTTTTAGGATAGACATAATAGATAAGGCCAAAAAGTTTGAAGTTCTCCAAACCCTGAACCCTAAACCCTAAACCCTATTGGCGATCTAAGATACTCTTGGCTGGCTTCTGAACCCCTCCTAAAAGTTTAACTAGCCTACTTATTATAGTTCATACAGGAACCCAAAAAGTTAGTCTAAAGAGCCAACCAGAAGAACGCCAAGTACTGTTTAGGGTTCCTCTCGAGGGTTCAGGGTCCCTGTAAAGGGTGGAAGGCTCCTCGGGTTTCGGGCCAAGGTTCAAGGACGGAGTAATCTAGGGCCCTCAAAAAGGTTCATAGAGTTTTGGGTATACTATACTACAAGTTTTAATGTGGAGCCCCCAAAATAACATAGGTAATTTTATTGAGGCCCCTACATTATGCTCTTTATGTCTTGGGGAAGCTCGGGGTCCAGATGCACAGGAGCTGAAATTGTCTGGCTGTGCAGCAAGTTGATCCAACCTTGAACCCAAAACCCTGAACCCTAAACCCTAAACCCTGAAGCCTAAACTCTAAACCCTAAGCCCTAAGCCCTAAATCCTAAACCCCAACTTCTGAAAGCTTTCCTAGATCTCAACGACCCGGACCCTGCAGCACCAACGCCGAAACTACTTCCCCCTTGCAACTGCCATACAAATCACTACGGACACAGCTCTTCGGGCAATGTAACAAGCCCTAAAACCCTGAACCCCAAATCCTAAACCCTAAACCCTAAACCGAAGGAATTTCCAAGGCCTCCTTGAAAGCCTCACAAGCTGAACATTTTTGTGCATGCAAGCAGCAAGCTCCGGCCGAATGTCTCGTGCAAATGCCCCAACAATGCCAAAGCTCCGGGCCATACCTGCAGGTTTAGGATTTGGGGTTTAGGGTTTCGGGTTTAGGGTTTAGGATTTGGGGTTTAGGGTTTAGGATTTGGGGTTTAGGGTTTCGGGTTTAGGGTTTAGGATTTGGGGTTTAGGGTTCGGTTTAGGGTTTAGGATTTGGGGTTTAGGGTTTAGGATTTGGGGTTTAGG